ATACACATGCATGTCCTTTAAAACCTAGAATCTAGTAAGAGGAATTGGGTAGAAGTAAAGATTTGCAAAAGAGGGGTTGATAACCTAAGTAAGTTCGGGTTGAGTTTGTGAACATCAATTCTAAGTTATATGTGTTAACTTGTGAACTAGATTGACGGTACTAGGTTGTTGGTGAATTGGAAATAGAAGGAAAAAAAGGGGGAATTCGACTCCAGGTATGTATTGCTAACTTTAACCTTTTTAAAGTCACATTGTTTGGTGTACGAGTAATTGGTATGTGTTACTTATGTGGACTATTTGCGAATTCTTGTGATTAATATGCCTTGAATGTTGTTGGTTAAATCTCCCGATATAATGGCGTAAGTAAATGGCAACAAACCAAGTGTGTGTGTGAATGTGTTTATGTGGTAAGAGTTGTGTAACAAATGATGGAAAGAAATCGTAATTGATGCAATTGAAACAACTGTGGTAATATCATACGTGACTTGTCGCGGGCAATTATCGTTGTGACTTAAGTTGTATACGGGTTGTTGCATATGATGGAAATGGTATTGACGTTTATGAAAATTCTTTGTGAATTGTTGTTGTTGTCGTGTGAAATGTGATTGTCTGGTGGGATCGGGTTGCGCGCCGCAACACGAAGTTATAAGGTGTGGGTTGTGGTGATAAGGGTGGCCGAGGTAATAAGGGTGGCCGAGGTAATAAGGGTGGAAAAGTGATCGAAATCACTATTGAAATAAAAATATGTGAAAGTTGTGAAATCATTGATGTGATGAAATAATGTTGAAAGGGGAAAAGGAGAGATTGTGGACTTTGTTTGGCTTTGGTTGTTCCTTTCATGTGCATTTGATTGTTGATTCTATTACTGTTTGTTATCTGTGTATTTCTTGATTTTACTTGGGGTAAAGTTTGTTCATACATACCAGTACAATTCAAATGTACTGACGTCCCTTTTGCCGGGGGCGCTACATTCGTGTTATGATTGTAGGTGGTTCCATAACAGGTACTCCAGCCCACCGACAGTAGCACTCCTTCACCTCCCGTCAGCTGAATTGGTGAGCCCCTTTCCTCTCGGGGCCCTGCGTGGCTCATGTCGCTTATCCTCCCGAAAATTTTATTTTGGTATTTGCGTAAGGTATAGCTGGAGCCTTGTTACCGGCAAGTATTGTAACACTCTTTTGTATGTTTAGAGGCTCCGTAGACAGGAAATGTGGGTTATGTACTTATGTATTTTGGGCAATATAACTTGTAAACCACGCTACGTAACTATGTATGTTATGTAAATCTCATAAGAATGTGTTTAAATTTATAAATGGCTATTTCACTTGGTTAATGGGTAATGGAAACGCAGGGTATCTCGTGGAATAGGAAAGGCACCCAGGTCCGCATGGCTGGGGGCTACCCGGTCGAGCGTCGGTCGCGCCCCTCGGTTTTCGGGGCGTGACAGAGGGTCGTGTCTTTTATAGTATAAAATCAGGCAGAAATAAGGTAAGAAAATAGTTGAGGAACTGATTGTCAATCAATTACATAAGACTCCCTTTAATTAAGGGATTCATATTCAAAACGGGTAAAAACCATTTAAGGAAATAAATTGAATAAACACTTTGTGCAAAGCATGCAATTAGGGGCAAGTATATAAATGTTATTTAAGGACAAGGTTTTGAAATACACGATTTGTGAAAATAAGGTAAGCAAATCAATTAACAAGCAGTAAATCAAAAGGGTCTGAGATTTTGCATGAATGAACCAAGTCAGAAAAGATGAAGAAGGGTTTTAACTTAGGCTGAGTCACAGAGAAAATCAGCAAACAATGGAAAGAAATCAATCAAGCCCTATTCAGAAGGAAGTTTGAACTAATTGCAAATTTGAAAACCATTTTAGAAGGAAATTCATCAAATATAAGGAGCATAAGAACATGTTAAGTATGAAAAAGACGGTGGTGTCATTGTAAAATCAGTAAAAGATCCAGTGCACAAGAGTTTAGTAAGAGCTGGAATCATATGAAAAACAAATGTTTTGAAACTCATTTCAGAGATTCAAAATAGGTTCAGAGGTCTTAGAAAGAACTGAAACCTCTACCATGTTCCTCTCAGCAACTGAAACTCGTGAGAAACATGATAGAAAAGTCACATGCAGAGCATAGCGGAAGAATTCAAAGAAAATAGAGTAGAAGAAGCTAACACGAAACGTAATGGAAAAGACTGATAAGATCAGTAGCAGAAGCATGCTGAGAAGTTTTTAGAAGGAACTTAAACAGAACTTAGTAGAAGGAAAATAGTAAAACACTTAAGAACACAGTAGAAAAATATAGTAGGAGAAACATATCAGAACATGGTAGAAGAAAGTACCAGAACACAGCAGAGAAGCATACGAGAACATAGTATAAGAAAACGCAGTAGGAGATGCATACACGAACAGGATATAAAAAACACAGTAGAAGAAGCATACAAGAACAGAAAACACGGTAGAAGAAGCATACAAGAACGTGGTAGAAGAAAAAATATAAGAACATAGTAGAGGTAGATGCACACAAAAGAAAAAAGAAAGAAAGTCATAGAAACACTTAAACATTTTTCCAGAAAACCCTAGATCGGAAAAGAAATGGTTCTGCAAGTAATTTTGAAAGAAAAGCCAGAGAAATCATTTGAAAACTTAGGGAAAGCATAGATACACAACAGATCTAAAAGAATCGGAAAAAACCTCGAAGGGTTAGGGTTTCAGAGGAACCCCAGTAGTGAGAAAGGCTTTGAAGAGTCACCGATCTAAGTCGGAGAGGTCAAAATCAGGCTCGAACAACCATGGTACACCGGAATAAGGCTGGAGATGACCGTGGAACCTCGAATTGACAGAGGTCTGGGTACAATCCTTCAAGGCCAGGCCTTGAATCTTCAGAAATCAGGCATGTGGGAGTCATAGGGGGTAGGTATAGGACTCTCATAGCCTTGGAAGCCATAGATTTCGGTGTCTTTCAGGACGGAGATGGTATGAGGCTGCTAGGGTTTGAGAAGGTTCGAGAGTGTTTGAGAGAGTAGAGGGTTCAGAGGCGGCTGGTAGGTGAGAAATGAGAAGGTTAGGGTGGTCGTTTGGGTTAAAAAAGGTAAGAGTGAATAGGGGCCGTTGATCTCTGAGATCAACGGCCAGGATGAGAGGGGTCTGGGTCGGGTAGGATTTAATTAGGGTCAGGGGCGGGTTTAAATTAAAATTAGGTTGGGGAATTGAGATTGGGAATTAGGTGCAATTGGAGCTGATTTAAGGCTATAATCGAAATAGTTGGGGCTAATATTTAAATAGCCACTTTTTTCCTTATTTATTTTTAAAATAGTAAAGTAATTTTTGGAAACAAATTAAAAGTACTAAATCAATTAATAATATGTAAATATTAAATTAAAAATACTGAAATCAATTTTGTAATTATAAACACAATTAAATCTAAAATAGGCTAATATTACAATTATATGCAATTTAGCTTTAAAATACTAAATAAATTTGTAAAACATGTGCGAAAATTACCTTAGCTATATTTTGGTATAAACAAGAGAATACAATAAATGATTTACCAAAATGCCAATTTTGGAACACTTATTGGTTTTTCTAGATAAAATAGGGCAATAAAATTGATTTAAAAATCTTTAAAAAAATTTGAGAAAAATAATAGAACCTTGAGATATGCTTTTTTTTTTTGTTTTTTTTAGAATGGGGGAATGAAGTCGGATATAATCAACTAAAGCAAAATGCTCCTCAAAAGCTGCAGCAATCAGGTCAATTTGTAGTGCACAACTTGTAAACACTTGAATGTCAAAATTTCACCAAAATTTAAAATAAAGTCCCTCTAAACTCTCAGCTTAGCTCTTGGCCGCCAGCTTTTCTTTGGCTTTTTGGATCTTCAAAACCTTCTTCACAATTTTCTGCTCTTCCACCAAGAAAGCTCGAATAATCCTCTCCCTTACTGCACTTCCAGACAATACTCCACCATAGGCACGGTTCACAGTCCTCCTGTTCCTAGATAATCTGGATCTCTTATACTCAGTTGGTCTCAAGTGTGGAATCCCCTGAATCCTCTTTCCAGTTACAGGACACTTAGGACCACTAGCCCGCTTCTTGGTACTCTGGTAAATCAACTTCCCACCTAGGGTTTTGACGACACGGTGCTGGTTGGATTTGGTGGCATAGTTGTGGCGTTTCCGATATGTGAGTCGCTGCACCATCTTCGGAACCTCTCTCTCTCTCTCTCTCTCTCTCTCTCTCTCTCTAGGTTTGGCGCTTCCCACCTTGAGATATGCTTATATATGTATATATGTGTTATTTTAAAAGGTATTTTACATATGAAAATATATAGGAAAAAATTGGGTATCAACAGGGGCGCTGCATTTCATGCGTGCAGGTTCAGATAGACAAACGGGTAGACATCCTCAGTAGGTGTTGTCCGAGCTTAGCTTTATCGGTAAGCTCCCATTCTTTCAGAGTTGCCAAGTCTAGTAGTGTGGTGTATATCTTGTGTATATATGTAGATAGGTCATGGGTAGGTCGGGGCCCTGTTCCCATCACAATATATCTATCAGTAGAGGCTTGTAGACATATCCTATCGGTTAGTGCAGTATGTTGGGCTTGTAAGCCCTGTACATAATATTTTGTTGGCCTGTCGGTTGTAGTAATTATGACGACCTTGCCGGCCCAGCTTTATGTTGACATTAGTCAGTGTCAGTCTCCATTTAGTTTTATATTTTGCATCGCACATTATCTTGTAATATGGCCCATAGCCAAAGTATGACTTTACATGTTCAGAATCTCTTAGTCGCAAGTGGTACGCAAGGATAGATGAGGCACTAGGTGCCGATCTCGCCCCCTGGCTCGGGGCGTGACATTTACATTAAAGAAAATCTCGTAAACTTTCTCATATTATATGTATAATTGAAAGTAGTAATATCGATAACTATAAAAAATCATATTTTTCAAACCATTTTTTTTCTTTACAAAAATCTTCCAACTTTCGGAATCAAAATTCGACCCCGATATCAAAAAGTCCACTCCCGGTCAAACTTTCTAAAATTCCAACTTTTGCCATTTCAAGCCAAATTCTACTACGGACCTCCAAATCACAATCAGGATGCGCTTCTAAGTCCAAAATCACCCAACGGAGCTAACGAAACCATCAGAAATCTAAAACCTTCATACACTACCAATGATGTAAGAAACACGCAAAACTCATAACCATTCATCAGATCAACCAGACATGAAGCTCCCTCTCCTTCAACAAGAACTATAGTAAATTTCTTAGCCGACTTTCGATATTATCCTTCCAACCATGATGTAATCAAATTCGATAGTAACCATTCCAGGTCCAACAACCTCATCTTCCAACACGACCACTCTAGTGACATGGCACCTCAATACAATCTAAAGCCACAACCCGTGCAATCCGTGCATCAATAAGCAACAGCCCAAATGTACTCAAACATGGAAAAATGACTCAAACAAGAGAACCTTCCTGCAAGCTCAACGGGTACCACCACAACACAATGTTAAGAACCAATCACACGCCGCAGAACTAAAACACACGAATCTAACACAAGGGATCATACCTCAATATGACTCTGCTACAATGCGTGACCCCATCCAAGCACTAGTCCATGGCATATATCTCAAGCCACCTTGCTCAAAGTCAATAACCATGCGCGATTCGACAACAAGTTCCCAAAGTGCATTACCATAACTACGGAGAGAAAATAACACAATACAACATTCTGGAGAGAACATAACCAATGCACAATCAATCATGCAATATCCAAATACCCATCTTGCTCAAATTCTGCTATAGGGCCCCAACAGAACCGTACCATATGTACATATAACCAATGAATCACAACTCCTCGTAGCATAGAAGGGTAGCTCACAGATCATCTCAGAACACGAATAAGCTCAACAATGGCCGAATGGCACATCCCTCAACAATAGCAACATGGAGCTACCCAATCTGACTCGGTGCAGATACACATCCTAATTGGGCCTACAAATGGACCCTCAAATCAGCTCTAGTCACCCACAAATAGCTAAATAACCCTCCAAAGGCCCACAATGACTGAATCATAACACATAGTATCATCTGACTTGCTTCGGCCCAACTTTACAGTCCTTAACCATGAAACAATCTACACATAAATCACCATATTTGATCCCAACTCCATCGCCCGAATACCTAACACGTCTCTCATACATGATCATCCCTCGAGGAATACTTCTACAATTCTTCCGTGCCATATAGAAAATTTTGAATATCAAAAATCGATCAACTAGGAGAGTGCCACAGTACCAGTGAAGTATCCCTAAGTCAAGACACATTGCCCCTTTGGAAATGTATACTCTCATCAAGCCATACTAGATAGTAATATCATTTACCTAGTCATCTGAAACCGCATATGCTTCTTAAGAATTCAAGACCTCCCTTCAAAACTGAACCACGACCTTGCATATGCAATCTCAATCCCTCACCACACATTGCGTCTACCTTGCCATTCTATGAAAAGTACGAGAATATCATGATCATTCCGAGTCATAAGCAGAATACATACTCAATTAGCCAAGGACCTTCCATTTGATTTCATCCAGGAGAAAATCACTATACACCACTTCTCCTCACGCCCGTAGGAAATATACTCCTCGAACAGTGGCAGAAACCATTGAGAACTCTTCGAAGCCCATTTGCACGTAACCAAGCTATTAGAACTGAATATCTCTAACTCCACCAAGCCACACAGGTCGCCAAAACCCGAGAGCATTGCCACAAAACATCTGTATAGACTAGCCACACATAAGTACCTAAAGAACCGATTATATCCATTATTGTGTTGATCCAACCTATTACCAAGTTGTCCTAACTCTCTGATTTCTTCCCGAATGGCCTTCAAATTGATACTTCTCCTTTCTAGAACACTACTATCCTTAACCAAAACTTGGCCCACAAATTCTATCATAGGGCCACACCCCCTAAGGCTCATAAGCCTCTTAATTCCCTCTTCAGTACCCCAAAAGTATCACAACCGAGATACCTACTCCGAAGAGACCTTCTGCGAATCTAAATTTATTCCTCTTACCTTCTTGATACTGAAATATAGAAATGCCACAAGTCTCGACATCATCCAATGTAAATCTCAGTTTCTAGCCATATGCTAATCCTGATGATTCCCAATTGCTACATATAATTCCTGAACCCATTAGAACCATTCTAGAGAGTCATCCACTCTGCTCAAATCTCAATTAGACTGATCAAATGGACCGAACGACTTGTGCCCCATTAGCACACCAACACCCAAGGAAATAATCCCACCTTAATGAAACCAAATAAATTCATGCTCCATGCACATTACATCCTTCACCAATAACAACTCAAATCATCTTATAATCCTCATATACCTATAAAGCCTAATATAACTCGTACCCAGAAATTCCTTCACTCAAGTCATCCTCGATCTCACCCTTTGCAGAACATAACTCATTCACAAGTACACCTCAAACCGAAATCAATACAACACATAACTATGTAATCAACTTATCAATAGCGGACTCACCTACTTGGCTCAAAGCCATAGATCAAAACACACCATAACTCACAATGCCCATACTTTATTACAGCCAGAATACCGTAGTGGCATTCAACTAAATCCTCCATGATCTCATGTAACACAAACCATCTAGCATCTCAAATCATCTGCAAATCTCGCATTCGCCCTTATAACAGTTAAGACAACTCTCATAAGCAAAACAAACTCAAAATTGCAGCACATATAATTCACTGGTAAAAGAGAACTCGCTACAAAATAACATAGGGACCACACAACCTCAAGACACCCCGCAGGAGATAATCCACCTGCTTAGCCTCAAACTGACATCTTTCCATATCTTTCTACGGTCACAATTACTACGCAATCACTTAATCTTCCTGATTTTGAACTCATATCACGACATGAAAATCTACTTCACTCCTCAACTAAACAACATGAAAAGATCCTTCAACACACCCATAACTCGAGACTACGCGTCATACCAAGACAGAAACCAAGCACCTGATAGCCCTTCCTACACCTCAAGAAAACCCCCTTTTGTCACATTCAAACCATATGAACACATATCGCAGTCACATTATACTCCTCACATTGCTATCCAGCCACAAATTCCACAAATAGGGACACTACCGGACATAAAAATTCAAAAGTGCATGCCCTCACAATCAACATCTCTATGCTCAAGCTACAGTCAAAACCCGACCTGAAATCACATACTGAAATCACATCTCGCACATCATCCAAGAAATCATAAGTCGTCGATGCACAACTGATATCGAGCGCTCATGTGCGCATACGAATGCATGGAAGGAATTCAAAGGATTACACTTCAAGTTGAACCAATGTCGCACGATAAGGAAAGAAAGATGGAAACTATATCCTAAATGCCATGTAGCCTCTCGAAGATAGGTATGGACGTCATCATACCGATCCGCAAGACTCTACTAGACACTTGCTCATGACTTGTAGAACCTATGAACCTAGAGCTTTGATACCGAAATCTACTAGTCAAGATAGAACCTAACCTAACCCGATAGGTAAGCCAATTAACAATTATCCATTACCAATTAACTTAACAAAACAATTAAACAAAGGAATTATCTGAATCTTATACTTTTTCCAAAGACTAGTACTACAAATCATGAGCTTCTAAGAATAGAATTTACAAAGTCGATATGAATTAAATACATCTTATGTTTGAAAAGTACATAAAAATAGTTTTAAAATCTAAGGCTACCATGAATAAGAGGCAGCTATAACAGGGATGCAGGTACATCTTCCAATCCAGTTTCTATCGAACACAGTAACATCGGCCTCTGAAATATGCATGTAATGTGCAAGAAGTGTAGTATGAGTACAACCGACCTCATGTACTCAATAAGTAACAAACCTATCCTTAGGTTGAAAGTAGTGACGAGCTGGAACATGGTCGGGTCCAACACCAATAGCCAACAACTATTCATATCAATGTAGAGCGTATAAATAAGGAATCAACTCAAAAATAAAATGCTCAACTTTTTCACAATTTTCTGAAAATATTTCCACTTTTCAAGAATAATAGTGGAAACCCAAATCCTTTACCGAAGTCATCAAAAAGAATATGAGATAGTTTGAAAACTATAAAAAAAAATCCAAAAATCCTTTTCACAATAGATAAGATGTTTCATTTTCTTTCCAGATAGACAGTGTG